CGCCGCACCTGCTGGCAGCCCAGCGCGGGCTGGGAGCGCTGCAGCGGGCAGCTCTGCGGAGCCGGCGCCGCGGGCGAGCCCGGGCGGTCGGGGCGGCGCCGGGCGCTGCCGCGGGCGGAGCGCGCGCTCGGCGCGGAGGGACGCGCTGCCTCGGGCGGGCGGAGCGAAGATGGAGGCTCGGCTGCCGCCCGCCCATCCCGGCCCTGACACGCCGACCGGGCTCGGCTCCGCCGGAGCTACCGCCGCCGTCTGACGCCCTCTGCCGTGCGGCTCCGGGGCGGGCGGCGCTGCCCGGCTCCGCGCCGAGGGCGGTTGTCCGGGAGGGAGGCCCCGGCCATCTCGGAGGTCCTGTGGAAAGTTGTTTTAGACGCGTAGGCTAAAAGGAGACCGAGTTCTGCACACGCCTTATCAAACGCTCTGCGCCGCGTTCTGACGGCAGGTTCACGCAGCCCCGAAGTCGCTCACGCGGTGGTCAGACGCCGTGCCCGCACCTGAGGCGATCGCCAACGCTGCGAGCCGTGCCCGGGGAGCGCTGTCCCACTGACTTTCCAAGTCATCGCAGTCATCTGCTAGCTTCTGGAATCCAATCAGTGCAGGACGTGGCCAAACGGCTGAGGCCGGCGATTAGGAAGGGAATATTTATTGATTGCAGGAAGAGGAGGAAGGGTGGTACTGAATCCATCACTTTTTAAATGCACAGACTGAACGATCTCAGCCTATCGGCCCTGCTTAGAAATTCAAATAGGCATTATTCACTGCCACCGACATTGTTTTGTAAAGCAGTCTCTAAATTGAAGGATTATTCAGGAAAAATTAATGCGTGTATCCAACTTACCAAGTACACACAATGAAATTACTGCAATATTTATTCACTTTTTCACACATCTTATTTCTGCATTCTCACGAAGGGTTCACTCTCACACTGTGTAGAGTGTGAAGCGAATTATGACTACTGAGAGAGAGACGTGGCAGCATTGACCCAAGGCTCCTGTGTTGGAATGCCAGCCAGGCCTTACCACTCGCTTTGGCACTCGCCTGCACCCCAGGACACCCCATCCAGCGTCTGACATTCAGCTCACTGACATTCAGATAGGTTTTCCAACAAGAACAATGTACATAATGATTTCTGTGAGTTACCACTTGTGTTTTGTACTTTATTTTCTCTTTATGTAATTTGTTTAATATCAGAAAATGCTTTGTAATGACTATTCCTATTACTGTAGCATCCACAGATGCCAAATGACACCAGGACTGCATGGTGCTCGGTGAAATAAATAAGTGTGCATCTGTCTTACAAAGGAGAGAAATAGGAAGCAGAACGGAAATGGAGGCAGAGAGATGATGATATATAGCATAGGGCATACAGTCACTATCCAGCACTGAAAGGTGGGTTTCCTGCTTCCAGCTGTGCCCATTGCTCTCACTGATGACAAGACATCTTCCTGGAAGTCACCCGAGAAAGAAAAGCCCATCAGAAAGCACACACCATCTGATCAGGAGCGCTTCAAGCAGCTTTCCTGATAGAAGTTGTACTTGCCATGCAGAAATGCTTCCTCAAAGGTGACTTTTTTGAAAACAGATTTCTCCAGGAGGTGCACGAGGCCAGAGAGCACGAGTCTGAGTGCCCTGCAGTCAGTGCCAGAGGGCGCTCACCTGGGCTGGGCCAGCCCCAGCTTCACTGCTCACCCACCCATCGGTAAGCTGTGAAAGGTCTCATTTTGTCTGACACAATGGAATGCAGCTCTTGAAATGCCAGGGGTTTTTCACAAACGACACTTCTATTTTTCCTGACCAGGGTAGAGGCAGTCCCCATCTGTTTGCCCTCTTACAGCTTTGTGTTGTCCTCTGCCAAGAAGAGACTTTTTTTTTTTGCACCACACGTTACTTTGAGTTGAAGCAGCGCTGCTGCAAGTCTTAGCTCAGCTTGTCAGTGCCCCGGCTGCATTAATGCCGCTGGTGTAGTGTCTGAGAATGGCAGCCTGAGCCCCTGCAGCACTGATCCACAGCAGAGGCAGCACGAGAGGGAGATGAGAGGTCTGTCCAGCAGCAGGCTGAGTGCCGGCTCCCTTCATTGCAAGCGTTGTGCCTTTGATTCTCTTCCTTGAAATTTCAGCGTTCCTCAAGGACTGTGTGGAGGAATGTCTGTTACCTGAAAGACAGGTAGGAAAAAAGCAGGAAGTAAATACGGGAGATAAGTGTGCTTTTCTAATTTGAGTAGAAGAGTTGAAGTAAAAAAACCAAGCAGCAGTAACAGGAAAATATAACACAGACATAGAGTATGAAGGAGCTCAGAACAGATAGCAAAACAAGGAGTAACCTCTTCGGCTTTTATTTTTCTTCAGCCCCTATCACTTGTTGTCTCTTCTTACTTCTGCTATTTCTGATCCTCCTGTTACATGGAGTGGGCCTGCTTTGCAGAACTCAAAGAAAGGAAACCAGTACCCAAGCACTGCAAGTGTTGGAAGCATTAAGCCAGTTCTTCCTTGTGGATGACTGGCTTGGACTAAGAAGAGAATAACAAAGCTACTTGAATGACAGCTTGGATCAAGTTCGTAATGACCTGGTTTGTACAGGCCAGGTGTTATGTAGATTGGAGCTTGTTATTGTGCATAATTTTGGCAAGCCTTGCAATGCACCAGCCAGCTCCAGCAGAGCTGGGCATGAAGCCACATACTACAGGCAGGTCTATCTTCAGCAAGATGGGTAAAGAAGCCGTCTTTTTCTGTTCTCTGTACCGTGGGGATGTGAACCAGCCTGCCTGCACAGCATCTGGAATAAAGCCTATAGAGGAATAGAGAACATTTTCAAAAAATGAAATTCCAGACTTTAAAATGGAGCGACTGCATAAAAACACACGGACACATTTATTGTCTGCTTCTTATGGAACAAAGCTTGAGAGCAAGCTTGTACTGAAAACAAGCCATCCACTCCAGTGTCAATAGAAAGTGATCAAACTATGCTACAAAATGTCCTTAATGATATATTCCACCCTTTTTAGAAAGTATCTCGTAATTCTGTACAAATTTTTATGCTATCTAAAAGTAGATACTTGAGGTATGTGAATGAAGACCTGTCAAAACTACGGCTCACCTACGAGTTGTTTTCTCACTCTTTGCCATTAATACGCACATGGTATGATTTGTCCTTCAAATTACTTGGTCTGAAATGTTTTTCTTCCTTCAGATGGCCATTTTTTAAAAGGAGGAAGATAGCAAAAAAATAAATCAGGAGAAGTGTCCCAGGTGCAGTTTTTGTAATTATAATTAACATTGGACTTTCAGGATATCTGAACACTTTTCACTGCTGCTCATTATGGGTTCCTGTGCCCCGAGTTAATAAAAGACACTGCAAATCAGATCAAACCCAGTTAGATGAATTAATCCATTTCCTATTCTTCTTTATGAAGAGGACTGTGTAAGTGTGGTGGTAGTATTGTTTTTACACGGCACCACAAAAGCAAACCTAACTCAGGGGAAAGATAAAAAGCACCAAACAAATTCTGAATCATATAATCTTTACCAGAGTACTGCAACTGCAAATAAATGACAGCTTTTTCCATATATGAAATATGGCGTTTTTATTTTTAGTAGTATCAGCTTTCATACCGGAGTCAATGGCACCAGAAGAAAAAAAAGAACAAAGTCAAGAAGATAATGAATGCCTGCCACAATAGATGAGCAGTCTGAAGGCACAGATTTAAACAAGGGCTACATACAGGACAGGCACCAAGTAGGTGTGGCTGTTTGGGCTTTAATGCTTCGTGGAAAGGTGGGTTGCAAGAAGCTCAAATCTCAAATTCTTGAATCTCTGATTCTTGCAGAACTTACACTGAAGGTTTACAAGTTATTTTTAATAGTCTATTATAAGCTGGGATCATGGGAATCTGAAAAAGAATCATCTGCTCATCCTTAGGGGCAGTGCCTCAGAAATCGATGCTAATGAACAGACTGCAGCGTAAGGAAGCTTGCATTTCCCCTGCTGCACCAATTCTGGGCATTCACAAGGGACACAGTGAGTGCCATCGTTTGTAATTAGAACAGGGAGGGGAAAGAAAGAGGATATCAGTCATTCACACTTCTCGTAGTGTCATTTCTTTGTGGCAGACCTAGCAGATTAAGCAGGCATTCCATTTAATGTTATTCCTATTTAAGGACCAAACATAATTTATTTTTAATTACGGAGTTACCAAGACACCTGCCATAAACGATGGCAGTCCTGTTGTACTCTCAGATGATGACTTCTTTAGTAACGCAGCAGAAATGCATGTACAGGCAGTACTTTTAGCTTTGATAAGACCCTAGCTAAACTATAGCTCAGTGAATACTTAAAGCCAGTCCTAATGTTGCATTAAGTCCAAACTCACTACCCACTGTGAGGTACAATACCCCAAATCCCACTGTGCATCCCTGCCCAAACTCAAAACAACTGCTGAACCAGGTTTAAAAGTCAGGCCTCCAGCAGCACTGAGCTCACTGGACAAGCAGAAGTGTAGCAGCACACCATTGCCCTCAGCTCCATGTCCCTTCCTGGTCTTCTCCACCCCAGTTTTCTGATGTCTGAAAGTGATTTCTAAAGCATTCATCTTTCTTCTTTATATGACTTCAGTTTGCACTGCTTTCCAAGATATAAGTAGCAGAGGGTGGTCCTGCTAGCTACAAGGGATGAATGGCAGGTCAGAGCTAAACATTAGTAGAGATTCAACTCCCCTTGAATCCCCTGGTGGCTCCCAATCACAGTGCAGAGACCTGCTCCTGCTCAGCCCTCCTTGAGTTCCCTTAAGAATCCAAGTCCTGCAGTCCTTCAGTCACTAGAAAGCATTTAACATTTGCACTCTAGACCCTTCTGGGACATACCTTCATCTGCACTTGGATGAACACAGCTGTATCAGCAGGGGTACACAAAGGTCGGAAACCACCACCTGCCTTCCTACAGAGTTTATGTGTATGAGGACATATTTTTCTTTTCACCGACCCTAAAATCATTTGCCCTGTTCAAATTTCAAGATGATCTTGAAATTGAGAAGGCAGGATCAGACCTTTTGGTGCCAATGTTGGGTAAAAGAAGGAGGTATATTTATCAAACATATAATCACTACAAATTGGAGAACAGACCAGAACTATTGAGAAAGACCAATTGTCTTCTTGGCTAGAGTCCCTGGAGGTTAAATATGTGATAGCCTTGTTAATGTTCAGGGAAACACAGCACTCGTAGTGGTGCATAAGAGAAAGTCCTCTTTAAGTATGATGGCATGCCTGTTAAAGAAAACCAGGAGTACAGTACAGCATAAAGCAATGCTTCTGCTTCCTATTCAACAGCTCTGACAGGGCAAGAATTCCACCTGCCATGCAAAAGAAGAAAAGCTTCAATGGAGGCACTTCACAAGCTATTAACCTTTCCTGATTGCAGTCTAGCTTTACAGAAAGAGCAGCGAGCAGCGATTCTACTTGTAGAAAGAAGGTCTTTTCTACAAGTAGTAACTGGCAATAATTTAGCATCTGGGGAACCTGTCAAGAATTAAGGTTTTTGTGTTCTGAGACACTACTTGGTAACAAAGATGATAGTACGAGATAAAGTGGGCTCCAGGCTAGTGAGTAATTATTAGGTCTGAAGCTGTTGAAGACTGTAGAGAAGAAAAAAAATTCACAAGATTTTCTTATAATCCTGTTTTTGCTTTTGGCTTTTCTGCTTTTTTTAGTGCTTCTCTTCCACTTTAATTAAATGTTGAAGGGATTTGCTCAGCACAGTCAATAATGGCATTCTGATGCTGATGTTAAATTGACTAGCTATTTTTAACATGCTTCTTAGTTATTGCCTGTCATCGCTAGTCACACATCTGGGGCTCTGCAGATACACACTACCACAGGAGATTCCCAAGAAGGGCTTTTCCTTGAGGAAGTTCAATCCCATCACATAGTTCTGAGCATCCATACAATGGATTAAGTCTAGTCACCATGTTAGAAACACACAGAAATTCCTGCCTTGGGATGGCAGTTCAGTCCAACATCAGTGCACCTCGATTGCCCCATGCCTCTGCTCGATGGACTGCAGCATGCAAAAACCTGCTGCAAAGGCAAAAAAGCAGCTGGCAGGCAAGGACAGTCACAACAGTGTTCAACCTCTGAAGGTTTGGATCATACTTCCAAATGGGTCAGTAGTGGTAAGAAGTTCCCGAATGTAGTCAGCTGCAGAAATGTGGTTTGACCCAGCCACTCTGATACTGAACAGCTTCTATTCTCCAACACACAGCACTTGGCTGGCTCTGTCTTGTAAATATATTTGCACAGATCATTGCTTGATACAGAAGTATTTCTAGCACTATTTCATAAGGAAAAAAAAAAGTCTTTAATAATTCTACGTAATTGTATGGCAACTGCTGAGTCACGGCCTGAACCTCTGATTGATCACCTGAGGTGAGCCATGAGTCAGCCAGAGGAGCACAGGTGAAGGCAATTCACCTGTGCTACCGGAAGGGGTGGAGCCAGGCTCCACCCCTCCTGGACCTATTTAAGAGCTGGCTACCAGAGGGGAAGGATCTCTTCTGGAGATCCTCCTCTTTGATATCTTCTAGTGAGCTCAACCCAAGGGTAAGCTCTTCTACTTATTCTCTTTTGTGATCCCTGTTTGCTTTGCCTTACTCTTTTGATTATATTGCAATTATAACATCTTGGTTATACAGTAATACATTGCTAAATGTATTATTTAAATGAGCTGTTACTAAATTCCTTGTCTACATGAAAGAGGAAAGTGTTCACACTACAGATAGCTGCAATTTTTAAGACAAAAGAAAAACAGAACTGAAGATTCCACAACAGAAATAAGAGGAAAGAACAAATAGAAATTCAGTGACCAGCTGCATATTTCATCACGATTTCCAGAACACTTGCACAGACAGCAGTCAGCAATTTTTGCCTCAAGAACCAGCAGTGAGAAGGATGTTCAGCTCAGCCAACAGCCTCCCTTCATACCAGCTCTCTCCCTCTTCCAGGGGCTCCCTGTCAGGACTCAGCCATCACCACCCTCTTCTGAGTTTCTTTACAAATTGTTTATATGTCCTCCGTATACACACACAAACACAATAAATGCATTGTACACAGTTTTCCATCAACTTACCATGTTTTGCATAAGTTTCTAAAATTGCACTTCTCAGCATTTTCAAATATAAAATAACATATTAAATTTAACCAGTTCCCAATAGAATGGATTCAATTCAACTATCATTCATACCTGTATGTGGAATGTATGTAGAATAGAGCTAAATGGGAGTCCAAAAACAGATACAAAACAATTTGAAATAATTTTTGTTGCATATTTTTTAAAGAAGGTTTAAACATTTTAAAATCATCCCCCATTTATTTCTTCCTCTCTATTTAGGTACAGGGAATTTGTCTCAGGTTCATTTCTTCTGAGGACCTGCTTACTGTACAGGTCACATTCCTGCCTAGGCAATGCTTCCAGGGAAATGCATTCCAGCCCATGCACTTGCACTGGCGGCCTCCTAGCAGCATTTTGGAATTAGTTCAGTGTACCTGCTTTTCTGTTCTCCACCAGGCACTTCTGTTAAGCACCAAAATCAGCATCACTGCACACATCAGGTAGCCCGTGAAGCAAGTAATTGACACATTCTCACTCCCTGATAATTCACAAAACCATCAAGTGCAGCACATCCAACAGTACAGGGAGTAACAGACCCAAACCTTTCTAAAGGTGACCATCTGTGCTTCAGTGTTTCTCAATATCACTAACCAATGAAGGCAACAGTTACTAACTTCTGTAATGTCTTCCTCCCTCCAAAATCCTCACCTAGTTGTTTCTTTCTAAGGTCTATATTGATTTATTTTCCCTCTCTGTGTGCGCATAAAGCAAGATGAAACCATTTCCTTACTAAGTTCTGTGTTTGAGTGACATTTTTGAACGTAAGGGAAAAAAAAAAAAGATGTTCTGTAGTCCTAGAACCTATGCACAAGTACTGAAAGCTTATTGCTTTTCACTACAGCCTTGGTTCTCAGAACCATATCAGATGCATTTACTAAGAAACATGACGTATTTTTTTCATATGCCAAGAAATAATGTAACTATTACAAGGTCTCATTGCCTCCTAAGGACAGAGCAAACTGCTGGTGGAACTCTCTGAGCTTTCTGTTAGCCTATGTTGATTACTTATAAGGATTCCTTATAATTAGCTGTAATCATGTCATTTTCTCCCAGCCACTCAGATGAAAGAAAGAAGGAAAGGAAGAAAGGAAAGGAAAGGAAGGAAAACCTACAGCAAACATGAGTAATGTATCTCTATTTGTTTCATATCCCTGAGTTCATTTTTAACTAACAGAGCTCTCAAGCTCTTCTCCACATACCCTAAGCTTTCACATAGATAACCATTCCTTGCCTATCACATAAAGATAAGCATTTTAACAACAGATAAAGAGTTAGTTATACTGAAAGTGCAAGAAGCTTAAAACAAATATTTAATATTAAATAAGTGCTTTCTTACTGAGCCATTTGTGCTCCCGAGTGTAATAGTTCTGTGGATACCTATTGTTGATTTATTCATTTATATTACTTGAAGAAGCCTGCTAGAGCTTGTAGGCACACATTCAAAAATAATTTAAAAGGACATGAATTCATCAGTGATTCAATGACAACTAATGGTAATTCACTAGTTGAACCAGTGCCAACTGAAAATAACATAAAAATACCTACAACTCAGATTTCTGCTAGTTTAGAGCTATAAGTTCTCAACATTACCTTGAGAGCCCACAGAACTCACATCTCCCACCTGTGTAGTAGGTGACAGCTTTCAGCTATCCACTGGCCACCTGTGGTACACTGGCTTCCAGAATGCCCTGATGACAGCAGTTAATGCGAAGGTACACTTGAGTGGCTGAGAGTGATCAGTAACTGTGAAAAGTAAGAGACAAAATGTTGCACTTGTTACAGTCATCCCAAAATAATGTTTACAATGCTCACATCAATAGGTTTTATTTATCCAGAGGGGTGGATGGGCTTGCAAAAAAAAAAAAAAAAAAAAAAAAAAGATACAATATTGAAATTAAGCAGATTTATCCTTTTCTGTTGCTTGAAATATTTTGGAATAATCTACTTTAACTTCAAAATCATGCTGTAACATTCCTAATTCAATTTCATGGATTCTGGGGAATTAGGATCAGCAGAGGCACATGAGCGATGGCTCACATGCTCTCCCTAAATAGCATCTCCATTGTACCATCAAAGGCAATACTACACAGACCACTGGTCTGATTCAGTAGGACATCTCTTAAATTTGTTAAAAACCAGGAAATACCATCTGGTACAATCCTAAGCAAAAGAAGATATATACTTCTTTCAAAAATTCCAAACCGATGAAATATTTTTTGCACTACTTCTTTGTCCCACTCTCCCATCTTCCAAGAAATGCTTTCATAATAAAGATGGTGTATGCAGAATCATCCATTTTCTTGATCTCTAGAGTCTGCACTGCTGGCAGTGCCCACCTCGTGCCAGCAGTTCTTGCTGCTTTTCATAAAATCCTAGACCAAGCAAGAGAAAACAGTGTAATAGTCTTCAGGCGCCTCTTAGCTGTATTGTGTCCTAGGCTGGATTACCCTCAGTGTATCAGAGCCCAGCACTTCAAAGGAGGAACAGCTGTGAGATTGCAATGCTCAAACTAAAGCTGTAGTTTTATCCATCAATATAGAGTACAGCAGGGTCAATACTTCAGTGAATGGAAATATAAGCAAGAGAAATTTTACCACATCATTAGATCTTCGCAACAATGGATGAGGAATTTCATACCTAGAATAAAGTAATTGCTCTTAAAAGTTACCAAAGGAGGATACACTGGGTGGTGGATGTTTCCAAGCTGCTCTGTAGAAGTCATGACTTTCTTAGCATGAGTACTGAAGAGTCAGTGCCACTTGTAGGGTGTTTGGCAAGATCAAAAGCCACTTTGTAGGTTTGGAGGTATTGATTTAGTTGGGGAAAAAAAAAGTGCCCTTTGTGTCTGATGGTTCAAGTATCCCTCACTGGTTGGCAGCAGTTGCTGAAAGCTGGTCTCTAAACCTGTTTTTATGCCTTCAAACATTATCAATTAGCAGATGATCTTTAGAACAGTCTCCCCATTCAGTGTTTCTTGTGGGACCGATTTGGAACCCTGCAATCAGCTGTGTATTGCAGGTAGCTGGACTCATTTTTACTAAGTCAAGGCAGGCATACAGCAATAGCAAAGGAGATGCTGGACTATTGCTCTTCAGATGAACCAGAAAGTCACCCCAGATTTTAGCTTTTCTTTTCCATGTTATGTTATTTCTGGAAATAATACAAGAGTGTCTAATACAAAACTTTCTTTTTTAGTTTTGCATCTAGACAAGCTCAAAGGAAAATAAATCAGAGGATGCTCAGTGCTTCCCTAACTCCTGAAAAAAGGCAGTCTGACAGAAACAGATTGAAGTTTTAGTGAAAATCTGAGACCTGTGCAGATTTCATTTTGCCATTCTCAAGGGAAAGCAAGGTGGGAATAAAAGAGAATGAGAAGAGCAATTCACGAACTATTCAGCCTAACTTAATCCCCAGACACCAGAAGAGTTTTGTTTGCAGAGTACCAAAAAGAATTCTTTTCCTGGGTTATTAAACATTAACCTGAATTAATTCATGCTCCTCTTATTAGGCAGATCAAGTCCATATGATTGCCAGCAAGTACCCATAATTTGATTTATGTCTACTCATCCATCTAGAAATCTGAAAAGAATCCCTGTAAATGATTAAATATTTGATTTTTAGTAACAAAAGGAATGGGAAAAAAGCATGGGTATGTAAATGGAAAGCCTTCTGGGTAAGGTCCAGAGGTAGTTGGAGAAGTCTACTGCCTGTGCTGAAAGTAGAACAAAGGTAGCTTTAAAGTTTCATTTGCACTCACAACCTCAGTGAAGCATTTGTACCACAAGCACAAGTGAAGTGAATTACCTAGGGATTGCCGCAGAACTGGCTGCAGCACTAGGATGCAGGGTCTGTACCCCCAGCTCTTAAGTACTCAGGTAGGCAGAAAGGAACCTCACTATGGGGCAGGAACTAATAACCAGACTTAAAAACAAGGTTTTTGCAGCTAGGTTGCACTGGAGGCTAAATGCTTAACTTCGGCAGTGATCAGACAGTGGTCATTCACTTGTTTGGAGAGGTTAGTTGCACCCATTAGTTTTAACAGAAAGATGAGAGTTATTTAATGCAGAGTCTTTTCAAAGTGAAATCAAGAGAAGAAGACAAAAATGAAGACTAATGAGATGATTTAAGAAGACCACTATCACTGTGATTTATTAGAAAAGAAATAACCTGGAAGCCAGGATTCACAAAATTCCATCCAATCATCCATTTCATGTAAAGTTGCTGTCTTAACCTGCCAGAAGAAATCAAGTGTAAAAATGTAATGAAAGAAATGGCACCTTCCTCTTCTACTTAAAGATAGTGTTTAGCTTTAAAAGCATAATCTAAAAATAAGCACTGCTGTTCACTAGTCTCATTGCATATTGAGATCCATTCTTCTTCATTTAAAAGGAAACAGACCTAATATTCATTTGGCATCCAGTTAACTTACTGTTCAATGCAAACACACCATTTTAACATATAAAAATATTTATTTGTGATAAAGAAGCAAAATACATCTGGCAATTAACTAACATGCACAATCCACGTCAACTCAAGTTGGGCTTATTTCCAGATAGCCAACACTGCGTATGTCAAACCATCTCAGTTTGAGGTGAAAACAGTTGTTAAATGAAACCATGAAACAATGTGTTAATAGGAACAGGCAATTCCAGCTTCTGTGGCAAAAAGATGAGACAGGTAATGGTCCAATTAAAAGGTATTTATAAACCTTACACTAAATTGCATTTCTTTATGTGAGTGGTGAAGTTAAAGTGAGTCTGAAGCTAATGTGACTCAATGTCTGCTCTGTGAGCAGCGGTTGCACAAGGTTTTCGGTTGCAGCATACCTGGAAAGTAAAGCGTGACCATCCTCTGAAGTGATAAATGCCAGACACATTTACTGACCTGAACATCAATAATTCTGAGAACTTCTCTTCCTTGAACTGCATTCAGCAGCATCTGAAGACTTCTCTGCAATGAGTAATAGCTACTACAGCTTCAACACAGCTATAACATGCAGAAACCTTCCTTCCTGCTTTGAAAATGTTTCAATGCATCCATTTCCTCCAGAGTTTAAGTTGAACTGCCAAGCATTTAAGCCTAGCACTCAAGAAGCTTGCCTAGAGCACCGGTGTAGTTATTCACATACAGAAGTGTTAAGTAATAGAAAAGATAGGCTGTTAGAAATTAATAGATGAAAGGGGGAAAAGTTCACTTGTTGACAGTGATGTTATTACTGTGCCAAAAGTAGTAGCTCAGACCTGAGCGCTGAACCTCAGAGAGCTGCCTGTCCTGTTGCATCCAGTTTGTAAATAGTTCCGCAGCGCTAGCAGACACATCTTGTTCCTTAAGGACAGGGATGGTTCTGTACCCGTAGCTCAGTCTGGGCAGCGAGGAAAGGAGAGAGTAAACACTGGTTTACATCAGGTAGAATTGTCACTGCTCCTCCTAACTGAGGCATGTCTTGTTATGCTAACAGAAGGTAGAGCTAAAAACAGACAGTTAACTTGCTCTGGGAAACTCTCCACCAAAAAAACAAAATCCTTACTAGGCTGTGTGCTGTCTCTGAGGCGTAAGGAAAAGTATCACCTTGTGCTTTTCAGACAGCTCTGGAGATGGTGGTGGGTCCTACAAAAGAGTCTGACTTCTCAGCTTTTTGACAGAGTGCAAATTCAGCTGCTGTCTTTCTCAGAGGAAGAAAGAGAGGGAGATAATGCCACAGCAGGAAATCCTTGAAATACTTCTTTTCCTTCTGATACTTTTGCTGCTATATATCTCATGGTTGTACAGATTATTCTTCTGCAAAGCTGTAGCTCACAATGACAAGTTACTTGGCCAAAAAAAAATCTGAATTATACCGTAGAGTTCGTATAACTGTGGTGATCAATAAGAGCTAATAATTAATCAAGCACTATCATCCCAAAAGGAGGTTCTCACTTAGTAAAAAGGTTAACTGGAAAATATAGAGCATACTGTGGCCCCAAAATTCCATATAGTTAATCAGTTTGTTACATTTCAGGCTGCACCCTGACAGCCCACAAATCAAGCGAAGGCCAAGGAGGCTGGAAATCACTCTGCCCTAATTGCAGGCTCCAGCAGTGGCAAAAGACTGAGATGTCGCATCCCGATAAAACAAAAACAGGATGTACTTTCTCAGCTTGAATCTTATCTCAAGACCACATCCAAAAATAGCAATGATGTATTTCTATTCACATTTTCCTAAAGAGGTTTTCACTGCATCCCCTTTCTTACATGTAAAGTCACTCTGCGGCAATGAAATTGCTTCTTCAGAGTATCTCTCTTATGAAGTGAGCTTGTTAGCTCAGGTACTAAATATTTGTCTATGGGAAAGAAAGTTTTTCCCCCATTAATAGACCTACTACATAGTATCATCTTCAACCAATAAAGCCATAACAGATAAAACAGCATTTGATGCTTTGGCTGCAACCTGTTTTTGGTATCATAGCTAGAAATAAACTGGAAGAAAGTTTTGCACTGGATTAGATACCATAGAAATAATGTCTGTACTGAATTAAAAGATTGAGTTTAAATACTGTTTGAAGTACAAATTGCTGAGATGTGTTTAAGTGCTGCAGCCGGATGAATCAGTGTATGCCCAGAACTCCCACTAAATGTATTTATCCAAAGAGCTGCGTGGATAAAAGTGACAGAAGAATATGCTGCTAAAACTGATCACAGCAGTTGTTTCCTAACACTGATCACGCCAACGCACTGCATCCTTAAGACGTATCTTGGACCAATAATTTCCTCTTGAATGCTTGCCTTCAAGTCCTGTCCTAATTCAGAACAGACTGCATGTTATTTCCAATTATTCATTCTACCTTCCAGCTAATGGAAATGGAAGAGTGGCTGGGACAGGAGTATGTAATGATGCAAATAAGGGCTTCTGGATCTTGTCCAGCTTCTGCTGCCATACTGGGGTATGAGTATGTATGCTTGTATCAGAGCACACGGTAACCCCAGTGCAATTAATGAAGTTGGGTTTTGTTCCTTCAAGGGCAAGCATAAAGTAATAGGGAGTGTGGGGTTGCCCACTGATTGAAGCAGAAAGCCTTCAAGGTGCAAGGAGGGGGGGACCATTAATACTTGCAGCGCACGTGCACAGAGACAGTGAATTAACCTTCCCCTGCAGCCTTACCTTTGGCATCACCTGAGCTTTGAACAGTTCATTTGTCATTCATCTAAGTGCTCTTTCATCACTATTTTCTGGCAAAGGATTTTATAATTATTACCAATTACTGTCTATAATATATGCAGCTTTCTGCACTGCAGTTATATTTCACCACTGAACTCTAAAACAAATGTCTTTATTAAAAACACGCTCCGCCAACTGCATGACACAGTTACTCTGAGATAGCTGTCAAAGAAAAACCTGACATAAATATTTACCTTATTAGTAACAATAAAAAGACTGTAGTTGGGTAGGCACGGTAAAAGCTATCTTGAATTCTGTCAGTGTCCATCTGCTTCTAAAGAACTCAGCCTTCCAAAAATTTTAGAGCAATGTGAGAAAATATATGGAGCTTAACTTAATACAGAATAACTCCCATTTTCTGCATAATTCTGCAATAGCTCTCCAGGATTTGTAGCAAGCAGAGAGAAGCATTTAAGAAGCACCACTTGTCAAAGGTATGTTTATTTGCCATTGGACATCAGAAAACGCTGGGTCTGCAATGAACCTGTTTACTCAAGCTGAGCTGTGTGTTATAATTATGATCATCAGCCCAAAGGACTGCTAAATTAGCACAGCCAATAAAATCAATGAGATCAGGGGTACAAAGAGACTCAGGATGGAATGGATCTGCAAAGAAAACTAGTTAGTATGACACGGCTGCCCTGTGCCCCAAGCTTTGTTGACGTAGCAGCTGTAGGGACACCGCTGATGGAGTGCTTAGCGCACACCTTCCACGCAAAACAACAAACGACATTAAATGGAAAAGCTCTTCTCTTAGAAAAAGCCATGGCTTTCCTACCCTGTTCTGTTTTGTCTTCATCAACTTGAATATCTGAGGAATCAAGGTAGGCTATCAGAAAAAGTAGATTTGTGAAGTAATAGGCCAGAAAATTCACTCAAGTGAACACCAGTGTTTATACAGTTAAACTAGGCAATCTGTGAGTTATGAGTTGGGGAAAGGTTCTTCACCAGAGGGCAGTGGGTGTGGAACAGCATCCCCAGGGCAGTAGGCACGGCCCCAAGATGCTGGAGTTCAAGGAGAGTTTGGACAATGCTCTCAGACACAGGGTTTGGAGTGGCCCTTTGAAGTGCCAGGGGTTGGACTTGGTCATCACTGTGGGTCCCTTGGGCAGCTCTGCCCACCACGAGGCAGTGAGGATGCAGCAGCCCAAAAGAAGGGATTTTGCAGCTCACCTCTGCCTGCACTGAGTAGAAGTGCAGTATATCACAAAGCAAACATGCATAGAAGCTCTTAGAATTGTCAAGAAGAGGAGACAGAAAAGCTTATGGATGACCCAGACCATTGTTGCCACTGAAATGCCTTTTGGGAGATTCAGAGGTATAAAATAGAGCATTTCCAACTATATAGAAAGCAATTTCTGTCAAATTTCCAGGGCAACTTGGGTAAGAAAAGGGGTATGGGAATGGAAATAAATGAATGCTTTGAATCCTCACTGCTTACCATCTTCCTGCTTTTAACTTCACTCCTACGGGCTTTTGTCTTAGGGAATGTGATTTAATAATTTTCCTTGTGATTGAAAAAAAAAAAAAGATTAAACAGAAAATTCCTTGTCCACGGAGAGCAAAGGAGAGAAAAAGGCTTTGCTCTTCCTTTCTATGATCTTCTCGTGATAGCCACCCGACAGCATTAAGGAGAAAGTGAAGCATATTTCCAAGAAAAGGACACCAGGGTTTCTCACCTCAATATAACTCATTAACTCTGATTTCCAGCTCTCCAGGAAGTGCAAGACTAGGCTGTAGTTAAAGAAACTTTTCTGCCAAAGGTCAATGAAAATTTAGTTCTAAGAAAATAGTGCAGAAACCCCATGACTCTCACCTTTATATGACAGACAGAAGCATTTGGTGTTGCAGGGACAGAGTTTAGATGCTTCTTCTCACCGCACAGCAACTACACTCAGTTCTGCCATTAAAATACCTGCAATGAATATACCAGAGCTGTAACGAAGGTTGGAATTATTAAGCTTTGCCCATCTATTAGATTCAGCAGCCCATATGCACCTCCCCATATATGGTTGCTTGATTAAAACATACTACTAAATACTGGATCCAAGAAAAATGGCTTGTTGTAACAGGCTGAAATCAGTCTCTCTCTCTCTCTCAAATTTTGTAATTTATCTGTAATTAAATTAATTGCTGCATTTGGGTATCCTTTGGGAAATCAAGCAGAATTAACTGCATTGATCAAAGTCAGCATCAAAGATGATGAGATTCAGAGGACGATGTCAATATATAAGTTCCCCACAGAACTGTGTTAAAATCATCATCATCCTTCTGGTACCCTTTCACTCCATCAGCAAGTGGCTGAAGGCTGCTCTGTAGCTAATGCTGACCTTCAGCTGTGACTTAGTTTATCTGGATTAGCATAGTTATTTGCTAGAACCTTAACAGAACAAAGAGCCGATCAATATGAGGTCAAAACAGAAGTGTCACAGACTGCTTCGGCCAGTCCAAAAAGGTGGCATTTGTCATCAAGAGTTACTGCAGGAGCTGGCACAGCACTCTCGTGGCAACGCCGGGGGTATTTCTTTGGGCAGCGTCTGCAGACAACATCCACAAGTCCTTTGTCAGGTATATTTCATGCCCAGCAGTGGGCTGCATGAACAGGCAGGTCAGATTGATCAAGAGAATGAAAAATGTCAGGAAAAAGGAGAGAGAGGAAAGAAAATAACAAGGTACAGAGGTTATAATACTGGAGAGTTCCATGAAAGAGTTTAACCCTTAGGTATTTTGTACTCATTTACACCAGTGGCTTATAAGAGAAGCCCGAGAGATATAGGATAAGCACAAGGTATCAGCTACATAGTGTCTTGCATCTCAAGTAGTTTATTCATTTACTAACATTCATTTACAAACTGTGCTTCCTCGCACAAAGCCTCATCTGCAAATGAAGTGCTCTCATCATAGACAGAAAGTATATGGTACACCTTCCAAATAGAGCTGCCAGGAATAATGGAGGTGACTATCCTGATACACTATGGATTTTTTTTTGTCCAAGCCACGGGGATCAATCACCATTCTTACTTTCACTGCGTAATGCCTTTTTATGAGCAAAAATGATGTCCCTGGTGCTCAGCTCCTGCAGGGCTGGGGTAAGAGTCACCACGTGAGCTCCAGGCACCAGAGGGGATGTGACATGCAGAGCTCAGACCATGTAAGGATCTATGTGCCACCTAGAGGCATGATCCCACAGAAAGCCTTGAGGTAAAACAGCATTTGAACTCACTCTCAAGAGGACATCCAAGATGTTCAGAAACCATTATATTTTATATTACAAATGCAGTTGATTGCATCTGTTTATTGCAGAACCATTATGCAGATACGGTTTCAGGATGAGCAGATTGCCCCACGGAAGGTCAATCCCAGACTTAGTTCTCTGCAATTTGCGTGAGGGTGTAGGTGGAGAAAAGTGTCCAGCATTTGTTTAGGGAAGAAGAGAAGCTGGAATGCGAGTCTATGTTCTACTCCGCCTTCTCACTCCAGTTATTTGGCAGTTAAAGGAAGCCTTAGCTATCCATCCTGCACGTGGGATGAGATTTGCCCTGTTATTAAAATATTTTGTAAATGAAAGATCTATGAGTTTCTGCTCTCAAAAAATGTTTCATAAAGCCTTTGGCTTTCATTTTTGTCATGGAGCAGGTTTGGAAGACTATGTTAATCAAAGACCCTAGAACTACAGCTTCTATATTTGGCAGCTTGGTATTCTCTCGTAGCCTTAATTTATGCATACTATTAGAAGGTTAAAGCTGGTCACAGGTCTCCTGTGACTGTCATCTGTGAAATAATGCTGTTGGAAGTGTAGTTTGGGTTCTACCTCATCCCGCCTGCAAATAAAACCACGCATATTCTGCACATCTTTCCCCCTGAACACTGACACCTCGAGCGACATAAAATCCAGCCAGCGATGTGACAGCTGCCAAGGTCAATAAGAGTTATGCTGAACTGCTGAGTAAGTGCTGGTCACACAAATCAAAGCTGTAGAAGGGCAGCTTAGCATACACAGATCTGCAACTTATTCCAACTGCTTTTTGGACTGAGACATATTTATAATTTTTATCCTTTAGGAAGTGCTCTATAATGAAATGTGATGAAGTCAAAGGTATTGAATGAAATCCTAGTATTGTGCCCTTTGCATTGAATTACTGATAAAAAAATGCACTGAAAACACGTTTAACATTTTTGAGGAGTTTAACACTTGAAGGAATTGTAAAAGGGCAATGATGTGAAGAAGAAAGTAAAAATAATTTAAAGAAATTTCAAGGACACATTGAGCAGTGCTGTCTAATCATGACCTAGATTCAGCTGTTTAGATGAATTCCTAAACTAGGAATTTAGGTTGGGCGATTTCAAGAGTACTCTAAGCCTTCTGCCTTTGTAGTACTTATCAAAGAGGTTTTGGCATTCATCAGCAGCTTCATGCTAGCTTACAATTATCAGAATTCGGAAATTAAATTTCCAAAGATGTCCCCAACAGATTGGTAAGAATAATATGGTATTGCTGGCAGACACAAGGGTTAGATTGGAATTTTTTCTCAACTCCACATTTAAATTAATAAGCTCAGAAACCGTGTAAGTTGTGTTCTTATTGCGCACTGCTTAAATATGAAGACTTTGAACAATTGCGTAGAAAAATCATTTTGAACTTTGTGCTGTAAAGTGCACCAAACTATCCTTAGCAGGTATTTACTGCCAAATTGAGAAGCCCTGGAAATAGAAATTGTTAACAGAAGCGCTGATGCGACTGTAACTGGATTGCTGCGACCAGTAGCACTCCAGTAATTACAGGGAAATAAGTGTTAAAAGGGGAACAAGGACAGAAAGCTCTCCATCATCTGTCAGGCACTTGCTTACTGCTGGATTTTCTCTGAGAAGCAGGGCTCCTAGCAGCAGGGCTCTGCGAGGGCTTCTGCCTTCCCTTATTCTATTTTAAGGTTGCTAATTGATCCTCTGAGGGAAGGCTCAGTCCTTTCAACGCAGCCTGTTAATGGGGAGCCTGCACCACGGCGGCTGGAGGCATGTGGGCGCGCGGCCTCGCAGCCTTTCATGCCAACCTTCCCAGCGCTGACTCACCAGGCAGGAGGCAGCTCCTGCTAACAGCGCGGGGGCTGGCGCTGAGGCACATGGCTCACAGCTTGCTTTGCCTGAAAGGAGCCTGGCTGACCTAAATTCCAGGTGTGGGGATGGAGAAACAAAAAATCCCAGGTTGTGTTGGAGCTCCTAAATGATGCTCATCCACGCTGCAAAACCACGGCCAGCGATTGCTGCACTTAGCGCTAGGATGTTTTGCTCCCCGTTAGTAAAACAAACATCAGGAGAACCATCTCTTTTTGAGATACTACCTTGGAACTAGCATAACAGTAACATTTTAATTGCTGACTTCAAGTTGTAATGCAGAATAGCAAAAGCAAAATGATCAACCTGATGCAGTCAACCGGCAATGGGATCACTGCACTGAAGCCTGATAGCCTGCCCCTTCCTGACTAATGCGTTAATTCTGTGGAGCCGCTACCAGACTAAGTGGTTTGATCAAGTGTTTTGCCATTTGAAAACCAAGGCAGTTTGACAAGCAAAATGGCCCACGGTTAAGAAAAAAGTATTTCAGTTTATTCGTACCCTGAATGGAGCATAGTTTAATTTAGATCCAAGGCACTATCTAGGAAAAACTTCCATTCTTCTTACTCAAGGATACTTGAGTTCCATCCACAAATAACACTACATGATGGAAAAGAAGGAAGTTTCTTGTCCCCAACCATCCACACTTCTTCCTTCTGCCAGCCAGGATTTTTCCAGAGATGCTCAGCTTCCTTTTCACCTAGTGCCAGTTCTAACAGAAAATTCTCTAGTCTCTGGAAACATTATTTTATTCTTTAATATAAAATACCAGTAGATGCCTAATTTTGCACTAATTATATGTAAATTGATGCTAAACCCAATTGTTAGATTATTCTCCTCGCTTAGAATATATGAATATCTTGGGGGTGGAGTAGAGACAGCTCAGCAGTTCCATACCTGCAGATGCCTTTCTCACTTTCCTAAACCAGGACTCAAGTATCAGTTGATGCAGACTAAACCAGTCTCACTATCTCCAATTCTACCAGCAACCTACTCAACAAAACCAAGCACTGTTTGGCTGGCTGGAGCAAGCACCTTGCATTTCTAGATGTGCTACAAGCATTTTGCCATCAAAGCTGTTGAATCATCAGAGCTATTGAATCACAGCTCTCAAATCCAGCATCAAACAGATTCATTCACTGCAGAGCTGGTCTCATTGGTCAAAACATTCAGCAGACCTAGGCTGGTGTAATTGAAAGAATTACAGTGTGAGGGCAAACCTACAATTCATAGAAGTAATTCTCATATTAAGAGAATAATTTTTTCTAGATGCTTCAAATGAGAGCAGTTTGTCTGTTTTTCTTTCCCCGATCTTCAGCATGGCTTTGTTGGAGGAGAGATTTTATCCCTGGGTTTCCTTCATTAGACAGATCTGAGCAGCAGAGGCAGCTTAGGGTTAACTAACGCAGGACAAAATTCAATCAGCAGACTACTTCTAACAGAAAGTAGTAATTGTGCATCTTTAGGCTGGATCTTTTCTAAAACTTTCTCCTTAATTTTTTTGTAGCTGTATCAATTTATACTGAAGGTTCAGTGATTTGCTTACTATAGAGCCAAAAGAGTTTGTTCTTGACTTTTTTCAACTAGTTCTGTGGGATTTTATTGATGAACCACCTTGCAAAGGGAGTACACACTTTTACTCATGCGGCATGAGGCAGACAAGAGATATTGGCCAGGGGGCTGGGGGCTGCCTGAGGCCATATGAGCATTTGTGTTTTCAGGTTTTGGCTGGTATATTCAGGGACACATAATAAAATAGGGGTTTTATTTTAAAAATCAATACAAAGACTGATTTTAAGTCAGAAA